TCGCACCGTTCCGCCGCCCCGGACGTCGCTCCCGCTCCCTGGCAGTCGCTTTAGAGCCGCTATCCAGAAGAGTATCCCCACCCGCTTAGGCCGTCGCGCGGCCCGCTCGGACCTTACTCGCCGTCGGCGCGCTCGCCTGCGGCTGCTTACAAAAAGTCCCCCCACCCCACCCCGAAACGATCAGCAGGGGAGTTGGTGAATCAGGGGCGGCAGGACGCATGCACTCGCGCAGCCGTCTACGGGAAAAGGATCACAAAGAGCATCCCGCATTGCAGCTCAAGATTGAAAGCAGTGCAAGCTACGATGGTGTTTCGATGAGTGGTGAGGGGTGTTTCGATGGCTCGTAATGGCTGCTGCACTGATTCGTATATGGTGCTCGCGTGCGTTTCGAAACTTGGAGCCATCTTGGGGCTCTCTTGGGTTCTCTTGGGGCCCGCTTGGGGCCCTCCTGGAGCTCTTTCTTGGGGCTCTCTTGAAGTTCTCTTAGGGCCTTCTTGGAGCCCTCTTGGGGCTCTTTTGGTGCGTCTTTGGGCTGTCGTTGTTTTTTTTGGGGGGGTCTGGGGGCCTTTTTGGGGTCCTCTTGGGATGCCTGAGGGTTGTCTCGGGGCCGTCTTGGGCATCTTCGCCAAAACAGAGGCGGGTCCGTAATTCGGACCCCCCCCCATCGGAGGCTCAACCGTGCCGTCCTGGGGCCCTCTTGGCCCGCTCTTGGAGCGCTCTTGGGTCCGTCTTGGTTTTTTTTGGGGCCCTTCTTGGGGCTATCTTGGACCGTCTTGGGGCCATCTTGAGGCCTCTAGAGCCCATCGGAGGCGAAACGGCGAGAAGGCAAACAACAGTGGTTTTTCTTAGGTGCTTGGAGGGTGTTGGCCTCTTGGGGGGGGGTCTTCGGAGGCCTCGGAGGGCACTAGAATCCGTCTTGGGGCCGTCTTGAGGCCTCTTGGACGTGTGTCGGGGGCTAGCTGGACCCATCTACCGCTATCTTGGGCCATCTTGGAAGCCATCTTGCGCTTTCTGAGGCCCTTTTGGAGCCCTGCTATGGGTCGCCCCCCCCCCGTCCAAACGCATGGAGGTGGAGGTAAACCCCCCAAGCAGGGAAAGGAAGGAGGTTGGAAAAGGAAGCGCCTTAGACCACCTGCGCCCAAAGGGCTGGTGGGGTTCAAGGCGACGGTGCGTTCGACTATGCTCTGAACATCCGCTGCCTTCTCTGGCGGGTTTCCATGGGGTGGGGGGGCGTGGGACCGAACGGAGATGTTGGTAGGAGGGGCCCTATGCGATGATATCTTTTGTTCGGCAATACCGAAGGGAAAGATGTCCGAAGGATTTCAAAATGATGTTCATGCGCAGGTTTCCGAACATGTTGGTATATTTGTTAGTAGATTTCGAAATATACCAAACATCTACCAACCAATTATGTGGGCAATGACCCTTAGATTCTGAAGGCAACAACCTTTTTATTTCCTTGAAATATGCCGGCTTTTAGCCATTAACTGTTTTTCAGATGTCCGGCAGGTCCATCACCTTAACTTATCTTGAGTTCTCTGAGGGCAACGGATGGTCAGGGATGGGCGCCTCTCGGCGCCGGGAGGCGCCGGGGAAATCAGCTGCGTCAGCTGATTATCACCCCCCCCCATTGCTATCCCCCCTTTTCGCCCGGCCCGACAAGCGCCAGCTTGCGGCTACCGAGTTCACACGGATACAAGAGATCGGGTTCATGGCCGAGTGCACCAAGGACGCTGACGAGGGGCCGCCGTCCAGGAGATCTGGCGGCGTCGCTGACAGAATTTCGGACGAGGCCAAGTCCAAGCAGGAGGCCAAGGATCAAGCAGTGGCGAAGCGTCCCGGTTCGCCTATAGCCCTACGAAACAATGTTCTAAGATTTTGTTGTGGTTTCCGCGAAATGTTCTTAGAACAATTCTGGCGGAGTGTATCTTGTTCCCAACCATCTTGTGGTGTTGGGTCCTCGTTTTGAAGAGACGGCTCCCCGCGTCCCTCCCTCCCGCTTCCTCCTCCTCCTCCTCCTTTTCCTCCTCCTCCTCCTCCTCCTCCCTCCTGCTTCCCATCCTTGCCTCTGCTTTCCGCATGCCCATCCCATTTCGGCGAAGCCCTCACAGGGTTCGTGGCCCCATATGGGAGCTCCACCGAAGGCCCCAGTGGCAGCTCGGCGTACCGCGCACAGGGTTCGTGGCCCCATAGGGAGCTCCACCGAAGGCCCCAGTGGCAGCGTTCGCATGCAGTTCCACCCTCATTTCGGCGTACCCCTCACAAGTTTCGTGGCCCCATGGGGAGCTCCACAGAAGGCCCCAGTGGCAGCCTTCGCATGCAGTTCCACCCTCATTTCGGCGCACCCCTCACAGGGTTCGTGGCCCCATGGGGAGCTCCACCGAAGGCCCCAGTGGCAGCCTTCGCATGCAGTTCCACCCTCATTTCGGCGCACCCCTCACAGGGTTCGTGGCGCCATGGGAAGCTCCACCGAAGGCCCCAGTGGCAGCCTTCGCATGCAGTTCCACCCTCATTTCGGCGTGCCCATCACAGGTTTCGTGGCCCCATGGGGAGCTTCACCGAAGGCCCCAGTGGCAGCGTTCGTATGCAGTTCCACCCTCATTTCGGCGCACCCCTCACAGGGTTCGTGGCCCCGCAGGGAGCTCCACCGAAGACGGTGCTCACAAGTGCGGCACTCACAACTGCATACAGTTGGGTCCTTCGCCAGGCTAATTTTATCACATTTGGTTTATGTTCTTAGAACATTTCGTGGTAGGATTACATGAATGCAGGGACGGTCTTTCCCTGCTCAAAAGGATGAAAGCGCGGCCAGCCGGGACGCCGCGGATGACAGAAGGAAGAGCGACTGGAAATCTCGCCCCTGGAGGTGGGAGAAGGACGACCGGAACTCCAACGGCAAACGGCCTTGGGCGCGGCAGTGGACAGGCGAAAGGAGCTCCTGGAAGAGTAGCTGGCATGACCACCGCGACGATCGCCACGATGACCGTCGCGGCGACCGCCGAGACGACCGCCGTGACGACCGCCGAGACAGTCGCCGTGTTGACAGAGACGGTCGCCGTGAGGACCGCAACAGTCACCGCCACGAGGAGTGGATCGAGTATTCGCGGGACTGGCGGGACTCCTCCACGTCCAGCCGCGACGCGGCTTGGTGCACCAAGCCGGCTCCGGAGGGCGACTCCGGCGAGTCAGGCGCAGGCGCCGGGGCTCGCGCTAAGGGCGGCCCCAAGCCGCCTTCGACGCCTCCCCCAAGAAGTCTTCTCGATAAGTCGACCTCCGAGCCGGTTGATCCTCCCACCGTGATGGACCAGATAGGCGTCCCTCAGACAGTGGAGAAGTGGGAGGAGTTCCAAGATGCCATCTTCAAAGGTCACCCTGCTCTACCGGCTGGTTGGATCCGGGTGTGGTCGAAAACCCAGGCGAGCGTGTACTTCCTCAGACTGCGGGACGAGTACACCACCTTCGACATAGAGGAGCTTGTCGACGACATGGAACCCTGAGCCTCGACCAGTGGGCTCAGCGCGTTTAGGCGGCCTGCGAAGCGGCAGGCGGTCCCCTTCAGGATGCTGCGCGCATCGTTACTTATGACAGCCTCCGACTCTGGGACTTTAAGGCCCACCCCAAACTATTTCAAACTAGATGTCGAATACTTGTATGACACTTTAGCAATATTTGTATGAAGTTTTAGACTGTTCATCGAATCGATTTTTCAAATATTCCAGAATTGTCTCACATCTGTTCCATATCAACATGTGGCAAACTATGCGATTATTTTTTCATGCCGAGCATTGCGAAACACAAGTTTTTCCCATAATGTTGGTCACCAAACACTTCATACGAGAAGCAGTTTTCAATAAGGTTTATATTGTGTATTGTGTTTTGTGTGTTTGCTTCATTGCATATATTGCTAAGCTGGCAAATTTTATTCATGGCGATGCATCGCGAGCGTTGCTCGCTTCGGAAACTCATCGAGCTTGATCATGCTGTGGCATCGCGAGCATTGCTCGCGCTTGCGCATGCATGAGGATGATGACGATGATGATGATGGGCTCTTGTCCAGAATAGAGGTCCATCTTGAGGCCATATGAGGCCGTCTTGAGTGAATATTCGGCCGTCTTGGAAGCATCTTGTGGCCATCTTCGCCGTCTTGGATGCCTCTTGGAGCCATCTTGGGGGCTTCTTGGGCCGTCATGGGGCCACCTTGGAGGCCTCGTGGGCGATCTTGGGGTCCTCTTGGGCCGTATTCAGCCGTCGGAATGCCGAAAAGAAGCTAACGCCACAATCCTCCACAAACCCAGGGAAAGTCAATGATTTTGGACTGTCTGCAGCCGTCGGAATGCCGAAAAGAAGCAAATGCCAGACTCTCCCAACAACTTAAGGGACATATATGATTGTGGCCTCTTCGGGCCCTCCTGGAGGACATAAGACGCCCCTTGGGCCGTCTTGAAGGCCGCTTGTGGGCCTCTTGGGCCGTGTTGGGCCATCTTCAGGCCATCTTAGGCCGTCTTGGGTGCATCTGCGGCCGTCTTGGAGGCATCTCGGGGCCATCTTAGCAGCCTTGGAGGCCACCTTGGCAGTCTTGGAAGCATCTTGGAGCCCTCTTGGGGCCATCTTGGAGGGCTTCTTGGGCCGTCATGAGGCCATTTTGGAGGCCTCGTGGGCGATCTTGGGGCGGTCTTGGCGGCCTCTTGGACTGTCTGCAGCCGTCGGAATGCCGAAAAGAAGCAAATGCCAGACTCTCCCAACAACTTAAGGGACATATATGATTGTGGCCTCTTCGGGCCCTCCTGGAGGACATAAGACGCCCCTTGGGCCGTCTTGAAGGCCGCTTGTGGGCCTCTTGGGCCGTCTTGGGCCATCCTGAGGCCATCTTAGGCCTTCTTGGGTGCATCTGCGGCCGTCTTGGAGGCATCTTGGGGCCATCTTAGCCGTCTTGGAGGCCATCTTGTCCATCTTGGAGGCCATCTTGGGCCATCTCGAGCGAAGGTGCCGACGAGATGGGCACCCTGGCGGGACGCGCCGAAGCCCCATGGGGGAGATCTTTTGGAAAAAGAGCCAACACCAAAACCGAAAGGATACAGCACGCCAGGCACCCCTGCGATGAATCGACAGGAGGCGGCGGATCGAAGACGCCTTCGGCGAATCACCGCCGCCCCCTGCTTTTTGTTGAAGCGCCTATGTGGCCGAACGTTGAAGCCAGACCTGCCAAGCTATCGGACCATGTGCTCGCCGAATCGGTTTGGAAAGCCTTCGGGGAACACGTGGGCATCTTGAAGGTCATCTTGGCCGTCTGGAGGCCATTTTGACCCTTTCGGGCCTTCTTGGGGGACGTCTTGGAGGGCTCTTGGGCACTCTTGGAGGCCACCTTGAGCGTCTTGGAGACCTCTTGGGCCGTCTTGGGGGCCTCTTGGGGCCGTGTCTTGGGCCTCTTGGGCGATCTTTGGGGGCACTTGGGCCGTCTCGGGCCGTCGGAAGGCCGACAAAAACGCAAATGCCACAACCTTTCGGCCTCATGGGAAATCTATGTGTGATTTGGGCATTCCTGGAGGCCTTCCTGGAGGCCTCTTGGGCCATCTTGGGCCATCTTAGGGCCATGTTCGGCCGTCTTGGTGGGCTCATGGTCCGTCTGACGCCGTCGGACGCCGTTTGGGGCGCCACTATGGGCCGACTTGGGGCCCTCTTGGAATGCTCCAGGGCCGTCTTGGAGGTCCATCTTGGGCGTCTTAAAGGCCTCCTGTGCCGTGGGGCCATCTTGGGCCGTTCTGGGGCCATCTTGGAGGCCTCTTGGGCGCTGTTTCGGCGATCTGGGGGGGCTCTTGGGTCGCCTCGGGCCGTCGGAAGGCCGAAAAGAAGCACATGTCAAAATCCGTCAAAAACCATCGGACAATCAATGTTTTTGGCCTCTTCTGGCCTTCCTGGAGGCCCTCTTGGGTGCCTCTTGGGCCGTCTTGGGCCAGCTCCGAGCCAACTTCGGCCATCTTGGTGGGTTCCTGGCACGTCTGACGCCGTCGGGAGCCGTCTTGGGGGCCTTTCTGGGCAAGGGGGGGCCCTCTTGGGGCGCTTCGGGGCCGTCTTGGAGGCCATCTTGGGCGTCTTGGAGGCCATCTTGGGCGTGTTGGATGCCTCTTGGGCCGTCTTGGGACCCTCTTGGGGCAGTCTTGGAGGCCACTTGGGCCGTCATGGGGCCTTTTTGGTGGTTTCTTGGGCGATTTTGGGGGCCTCTTGGGCCGTCTTGGGCCGTCGGAGAGCCGAAAAGGTGCAAATTCTAACATCTTTCAAAAACCTAAGGAAGATCAATGATTTTGGCCCTTTCGGGCCTTCCTGGAGGACGTCTTGGAGGGCTCTTGGGCTGTATTGGAGGCCTCTTGCGGGCCTGTTGGGCCGTCGTAGACCGTCTTGGGTACATATTGGGCCGTCTTGAAGGCATCTTGGGGCCAGCTTAGCCGTCTTGGAGGCCATCTTGGGGCGTCTTGGAGCCGTCTTGGAGACCATCCTGGGCCATCTTAGCCGTCTTGGACGCCATCTTGGGTCAACTAGAGGAAACAGAGGCATGACGGATGCGTTTTGAGATCCTTTCCGGGTGGCCGGCGGGACGGGCCGAAGCCCCAGGGGGAGTTCTTTTGGAAAATGAGCCAAAACCAAAACCCATATAATTTGACACGCCAGGCACCCCTTTGATACATCAAAATTTGGCGGCGGATCGAAGACGCCTACGGCGAATCACCGCCGCCCCCTGCCTTTTTGGAAGCGCCTATGTGGCCGAACGTTGAGGCCAGACCTGCCAAGCTATCGGACCACGTGTTCCCCGAATCGGTTTGGAAAGCCTTCGGGGAACACGTGGGCATCTTGAAGGTCATCTTGGCCGTCTTGGAGGCCTCTTGGGCAAGCTTTGGGCGATCTTTTGGGCTTTTTGGGCCGTCTCGGGCCAGCTTCGAGCCAACTTCGGCCATCTTGGTGGGTTCCTGGCACGTCTGAAGCCGTCGGAAGCCGTTTGGGGGGCCTCTATGGGCCGACTTGGGGCCCGCTTGGAATGCTCCAGGGCCGTCTTGGAGGCCATCTTGGGCGTCTTGGAGGCCATCTTGGGCGTGTTGGAGGCCTCTTGGGCCCTCTTGGGGCCCTCTAGGGGCCATCTTGGAGGCCACTTGGGCCATCATGGGGCTCTCTTGGGGGCCTCTTGGGCGATCTTGGGGGCTTCTTGGGCCGTCTTGAGCCGTCGGAGAGCCGAAAAGGCGCAAATGCCAAAATCCTTCAAAAACCAATGGAAAATCAATGATTTTGGCCTCTTCGGACTCTCCTGGAGGACCTCTTGGAGGCCTCTTGGGCCGTCTGGGAGGCCTCTGGGGGGCCTCTTGGGCCGTCTTGGGCCGTCTTGGACTCTCTTGGGCCGTTTTGGAGGCCGTCTTGGACCATCTCGGGCCTTGGAGGCCATCTTGGGCCATCTTCGCGATTTTTTGAGGATGTCCCGAGCGAAACGGCCGTTTTTGGGCATTGACAGATGGATTT